TCCGAAAGCTGGGGGACCGTCTGACCCTGAAAACAAGGTTGGACAAACCTCTAAAGTAGGACAGAAGCAAAAAAAGAAGTCGGAAGTGACACAGGGTACCACAGCCTCTGGAAGTGGAACATCCGGGACCCAATCGGCTTCCCAAGAAATTGCATCAGAGGATCTGCAATCTGGTGCAACTAATGATGAAATGATCGGCATTGAAGAAGCTCCGGCCTCCGAGGTAGCCGATACTACAGAGGAAACAACGGTAACTGCAGAAAAAGAGGTAGTTAGGCCCCAAACGCCACCCCAGCAACTACTTCAAGCTGTTGATCCAGGTACTCCTACAAAGGGTGGCAAGAGAATGAGCAAATCACAGGAGTACAGAATCACCCCGCCGGACGAATCTCTACCAAAGGATGTCCAGCAGTATATGATTGCAAACGAGCTCTGTGGACAGTGTGGGTGTTACCATAAGGGGAAGTCCTGTCCTGCAGCTCTCCAACCGCAAAAAAGATTCCCAATCGAAGCCTTGGTGGGGGGACATATGAGGACGAAGGCCAAGGAGCTAAAGGAACGTGCAAGAGAGCAGAAACAGCGGCAAGGGAAGGCTGCATCTGCCTCTACCTCAAAACCAGCTGCAACAGCAGAACAGAATGTTGCCGTCGTTGTTCCCCTAGTGTGTGTAAAGTGCATGCAGGCTGGGCACACAGTACGAAACTGTCCTCGATCGGACTGCACACACTGTGGGTCTAAGGATCATGTCGGCGTTAACTGTCCAACAAGGATAAGGTATGCTTACGAGAAATAATGGCAGCAATGCCGTTACTAGCAATGGCCGAACCGGAGGGAAACTACCTGTGATCCTAGTGGCGGGGATGAGTAGATGCCATCCAAAGGTATGGGCTGTTGTGATGTAAGCTACCATAAGACGTGGAGTCAGCGCAATCTCCTTCACAAGACTTGAGCTGGGGGAGATATTTAGTGTTCCTCAATCTGACCTAAGCGACAGACTCTACCTAAGCAAAGGCATCAGCAGATTTCTTTAGGATAGTTTTTTCTTTCCTTTCCCTGTTTTCTTCCCCAGGGTGGATAGCATAGGGGTTAGAGTAGTTTAGTGGAGTGGTGATGTTAGACGTAGATAGAATCTTCCTTTACTACTTTAACCTTTTCAAGGGCCGATGCACTAGAAATTATGCAAAATAAGAGTACATATGGATGGATATGTAAGAAATCGGTGACAGCGGAAGAAAATCTAAAACTCACAGACTCTCTCGATGGCAGAGCCTACTGGAAACTCTGTGCCAGGCCGGCATGCGGAAGTCAAGTTTAGGGCCAAACTTGATGGATGCTAGTGAGGGACTCACTATGAGTGGAAAGAAAGCTCGAGAATACCAGGAAAAATCCCACTGGTACGCAATCCGTTAACCTCTA